GTGACACCCTAAGAGGGGGACACCACTGCTCCCTAAATGTCTGCCTTTTGGTAGAAATGGGATGTGGCACTCACCTATGTTCCTTTAAAATGCTGGAGATCAGCAGAAGAGATGATGTGAGCAGGAGGGAGGCTCTGTGGAAGGAGAAAGTAGAGCCCCCAGATTTTAAATTTTTAATTTTTTTAAAAAAATTAATAACTTGCAATTTTTAAATTATTAATTCTTTCTAAATTTTCTTAACAGCAACACCTCTTACCACATTTTCATTTCAACCACATGAAACTATGTACATGTAAATACATTTAGGCTGTGCATATGATACTGTAATTTAAAAGTTGAATTTTAATTTTGCTAGTTGTTTATGTCCCAACAATTGCCATTACATTCAGTGATATATGGGAATTATGATTTATGAGTAACAGTAGTATAAAAAAACATTCCTAACAATTTTATATGGTGTGATATGGGAGGAGGTCAGTGGAGGAGATGACACTATGAGTTACTCACACTGTGTGATGCCAACCCTAGTGTTGCCCCTGTTGGAAGTTATTCTCACAACCCTCAGATTTCCTGCCATAGCTGCTTAATGACTTTGTGTGCTTATAGTAGTATTGTCCTGGAAAGCGAGCAGCAGGGCTGATAGCCAAAGTGAGGGAAAGTCCCAGAGTCCTAGTTACCAACCCGAGGAAGCAGCAAGCGAAGAGTCAAACACAATCTGTAGGTTGAAGGTTGCAGGGAGACCAAGAAGCAAGGCAGACCGAGGTCCAGGGATTCAGAGGTCCAAGAGTAGTCAGCGGTCCAAAGGTAAGGATACCAGGAGTCCAAGATAGTCAGGAGTTAAGGGTTCAAGGCATGGAACAAGTAGAGCCAGAAACAGAGGCTTTCGCCAGGAAACTCAGATAATCTCTGGCACTGAGGCAGCATTTCCACACTTACTTAAATCCCCAAGCTGCCAGAGCTCAGCTGGGGCTGATCACCTTGATGACCTCAGTGTTTTTCATAAAGTCTCCTTGAGCACCAGAGACCCACCCTTTCAGCTCTACGTTGCCTAAAGGTAGGCAAGGTCCCTTGATCCTTTTCAACATCTGACAACTCTGTCATCAGAAGGCTTGGCTGTGGAGCCTCTTGAGAAGCCACAGGCTCTGCTGGAGGCTCCACGGGAGTTGGCACTGCAGGGCTGCTAGGACTGGGCTGGAGCTCCTCCACTGTAGGCTCAGGACTTGGAGGAGGTTCTGGCTCATCTTCATCCTCCTCATCCTCATTCAGGCAGGGCATGACAAGTATTAATGATGGATGATGGGATGTGCATTCCAAAGGGTGATTAAAGCACAGATGTCTGGAGAGTTGACATCACTCTGGAAGTTTCAAGGGTGATCTCAAGAGAACAGTAGATACAAGGTTAGAAGGAAAGGTGATCCTGGGAAAGGGGTAATGCAATGCAATGGTGTTTGGTTGTATGGGAGAATAGGGTGCAAGGCCACCCAAAGTTTGGATTGCTATGTGTTTTTCATTATGTTATGTAACTGCCATTACTATTACTGTTATATTAGTCCTGACAACATAAATCTGCTATGAACATCTTCGGTTTCTGAATAAAGTTTTCCTGTCTAATACTGGAGCTTGCATTTCTGAACCAAAACTGTACATGAGAAGCACTAGATGTCACTGCATACACCTTTTTATCACACTACAGTTGCTCTAGCTGCCCAAATGTCCTGATTTGAGAAAACCCTATTGAGGGATTGGTTCACAATGACCCTAGGCTTGCTTTGAAGAGGGTCTCTGCCAACATACCCAGCCTGTAATTCTGGCAGGAGGGGAAGAGGAATAAAAAGAAAACCCTATGGATGCAAATTACCTTCAACTTGCTGCCCAGGGTTCTATATATTGGAAGAGCTTTGGAAGTGGTGAAGAAGTTCTCTTAAGGAATGAGATTTTTTCATATGTCAGCTTCTATAAGATGTTTTCATATTCCAGGAATTTTTGGCATTTTTTTTCTTTTACTAAAAGGCTCTCCTGCTCAGAATACATTGTGTTTCATGCAAAAAACAAAAACAAACAGGCAAACAGGCAAACAAAAACCTTCAGGAAATGTGCATAAAATTGGGGGGGGGGGAATTACTGAAAAAAATGCAAAACCTCTTGTAATCTTAGTTAATGGGAAGAAAGAATTCTCTTTCTATATATATTCATTTTATTTATGCGAACAAATGATGAGAATAAAAAGGACAAAGGGAGAGGAGGGAAAAAGAAAGAAATGTAGCTGCACCTTTCAGACTATCTGGTTTTTAATTTAGCATGAATTTTCATTTCTTCAGATGCTGTCCAGAGTGATCAGATTTTTTGTCCCTAATCACTCCACTAATTGCGGGAAAAACTGTAGAATAGTTTGGTATTTTTAAAAATAAATAAATAAAGGCACAACTAATTTAATAGCCAGATTATTTTATAATCTCATATGAATGTTAAGGTACAGCTTTCCAAATGAACATCTGAAATGTTGTCAATGTTCATTAAAATTGATGCTGTTTTTTACAGCTCAATTTGAAGAGATTAAAAAACAATCCATATAACAAAGATTTTCCCTTTTAAATATAAAACAAAAGTAATTCATGTTGTAGCTGTATGCATACATACTAGAGTGTTCCATGAATTTCAGTAAGCCTTACTTCTATGTAATCATGTAGCTCTCCAGACTGCAGCTGGACTAAAGTGGAATAGTGCTGATTTGGACATCTATTAAGGCATCCTGGGATTGCATTTTGGTTTTATATTTTGTCTTTTGGCTGCACTATGGATAGTTAAGATACTTCTACTCCCAACAATGTAATGTCCTCCAGCCTCATGTCCTGCTCTTGAGCAGGAGAGGGAACCTCTGACTTCTGGGCCTTTGCAGACTGCCGTGGACTCAAGTTGCATTATTTCTGGCAGTCTGTAAAGGCCCTTCCGTCTGCTGCCACTACTACTACTAATTCACTCCATGTGACTCAGAAACCTAATGGGAGTTACTGAGAGATTTAACTCTCCAACCTCTGACTCTACAGAGTCCCCTCTCATGGGATATGAGAAACCTATATACATATGTGTGCACATAGCAAACAAAGGCACATGAGACACAATTCAATATCTTTAACAATGACTTAGGGCCAATGCAGGCCAGCCTAAAGGTGTGGCACAGAGCCGTCCCTGGGAGCAGTGGATCAGGGCCATGGCAACTGCATGCCGTGGCCCCAATTCTCCTTTTTGCCACTCCTTTTGGGGGTGGAAAAAAGCTGCTCTTTCAGCCATGGCAGCGTTGGCTTTTTAGCACCCTTTTGGTGCAATGTGTGCATACGCTGAGCCAAGAGGGCATCCTGATGCTGTGTGCCATGCGAATGGGCATGTGGCATCAGATAGGGTTTGGGTGGATCAGGGCAGCTGGTGTGCAGCTGCCCCACCCCAACTCCACCCCCAAGCTGGCCCTTTAGGCCGGTCTGCAAAGCCCCTTAGATGGTGGAATATAGGGCATGCTTATTAAGTTTGCAGATGACACTGAATTAGCTAATACCTCAGAGGATGAGATTGGAATCCAAAATGACCTTAACAATTAGAGAGTTTAGCCAAAACTAACAAAATGAATTTCAACAGAGAGAAAGTAAAATATTACACTTAAGCAGAAAAATGTATGAAAGATTCAGATATAGGATGGGTGACACCTGACTTAACAACAGTTAATGCAAAAGGGATCTAGGAGTCTTTAGTAGACCTAAACTGAACATGAGCTAACAGTATGATGCAGTAACTAAAAAAGCCAATTCATCCTAGGCTGAATCAATAGGACTGTAGTGTCTAGATTGAGAAACATAATAGTACTACTCTATTCTGCTTTGGTAAGATCTCACCTGGAATACTGTGTCCACATCTGGGCACTACATTTCAAGAGAGAGATTGCCAAGTTGAAGCATGCCCAGAGGAGGGCAACCAAAATGGTGAAAGCTCTGGAAAAGTCTGGATGGAAGCTATGAGGAGCACCTTAGGGAGTTGGATGTTTACCTTGGAGAAGAAAAGGTTAAGAGGGGACATTATAATCATGTTTAAATATTAGAAGTGATGTCATATTGAGGATGAAGCTTTTCCCTCCCTGTTGCTTCATAGAGTAGGACATGGAACAATGGATTCAAACTACGAGAAGAGATATTCCACCTCAACATTATGAAGAACTTCTTGACTGTAAGAGCTGTTCAACAGTGGAATATGCTGCTTCAGAGTGTGGAGGAGTCTTCTTCTTTGGAGGCTTTTAAACAGAGTCTGGTTAGCCATCTGTTGGGAATGCTTTGATTGTGTATTCCTGCATGGCAGGAGGTTAGACAGGATGGCCTCTGTGGTTTCTTCCAATTCTATGATTCCATGATTGCATGATAAGAAAGTGTGGAAAAGAGAACAATTATGGAAAGCTTTTATTCTAAACAAGCAATCTTAGCAAAAGGATATACAGTGGTACCTCTACTTACGAATGCTTCAACTTACGAAAAA